CCCAAGTAAGTGTATGGTACTCACGAGATGTCTCCAAAGCCTTCATCGACTATTCTCTATGCTTATCATCTCTGCAGCGTGGAAGTCTGAGAGGCCAAAGAAACGAAAGGGCCAAGATGAGAATCTTCTGGTAGGTGGAGAAAAAGCTACGGAGGATGAAGATGAAGTGGTAGAGGCCCAGCCGGTGAAGCGCAAGAGAGGTCTGAGTCACTCATGTTGATGTTGGTCATGGATGATTTCGATTCTAACACTGTCTGTAGGCTCCAAGACTGCTACAGCTAGAGTTGCCAAGGAAATGAAGTCAGCGCAAGCGACTAACAAGCAGAACAAACAGGGCAAGAAACCGTTCAAAGTGTATAGCATGATGTACTCACATTGGTTGTCTACAACAGAGAAGGCAGCCGCGCAAGCAGCCAAGAAGAGCCAGGGCAAGCAAAATGCAAACAAACAAAAGCCGAGTAAGTCTTCTGTGGGTCCCCTTGCACAAATAGAGAAAACTCACACGAGACAGGCACCAGCAGTCGTCCCACCATCGATCGTCGCTCTCTTCTCAATGATGACGAGCATGCCCCTAACGTTGAGCAGGTCCCTCTGCCCCTGAAAGCTGTCATGGTATCTCAGCCAAAGAGGAAGAAGAACACCGAAAATGACTCCAGAATGGGAGCAAAGCCTGTTAATGGTACAAGGCTCCTCTCCTATCGCATCACTGCTGTGCCTGACCTATCTGCTGTAGCACCTACCACTCGCAGTAATGAAAGGCTTCCTGTAATCAATGAGGCAGGTTCTGCCACCAAGGTCGGCCAGAAGCCTAAAGTGGGCAAGCCCACCAAGCACTCCGAGGCCAAAAATAACGATGAAGACGAAGATGAGCAAGACAAGGAAGACTTGGAGTCATCGGGCTCTGAGTTTGCTGTCAAACTGGGGCTTGATGAAGACGAAGATGAAGATGAGGAAGAAGAAGACGAAGATGAAGATGAAGGTGATCTTGAGGATGAGGATGAGGAGGGAAGCAGGAGCGCAACCATAACTACCAAGAGCAAAGTACGCACAACTACTTGACACACACTGCACCTCTTACTAACGCCTCTTTTGAAGGACAAGAAGACAAACGGCCGTGCACAGATGACAACGACAAGCCGTGCCTTGCAAGCCGAACTCGAGGTACAATTTGCTTTCTCTTTTAATGCTGCAGCTCATATTCTTGATGGGTCAAGCGTCCTCGGTTCAAGACCAACAACTTTCCAACTGGTAAAGGAAGTACTACCACTCGGAAAGAAGGTGCTGTCACCACCAATACTGCCGGAAATGTCTCTGAACCCCAGGCCAACGACCAAGAAGCTGCTGCTCTCAGTGAGCAGCCGCCAGATGCTGATATCACTGCGCTGGTCTTGAACGCAAAAGGTCAGTTAAATCTCAGTAGCCAGCAGCAATCAGTCACACGCGTCATGAACCGCTTTCATGAGGAATGCATCGCTGATGCAGCCTTCAACTGTGGTACAGTTTCACGCTACTCATCCTTGGTTTATTATCTGATTACTGCTGCGTTGTAGGAATCTATCCCGTCTCTCTGCGGGTCCCATCTCAGCTTGACCTTCTCATTGGGGCTGCGACTATCGAGGATGTTCCAGAGATAGCAGCAAAAGTGATGGCTGATCGTGACTATGCTGCGAAGATTATTGCGTCGGTGAGCCAGGGTAATGGTATTTTATGAGACTGTGACTGATATCACACACTATCATCTCTCCACGGTCAACAGGGCGAGCAACACGTTGTGCTCATACGCGGCAACCTCAAGGGGCTGTGCAAATCCAGCGTGCCGAAGGAGTATAGCCTCACCTCGGACAAGCCTGGTGACCAGACCAGGCCATGCTTCCATCGAGTCGGAGCCCTGGTACACGACCTTGGCTACATCTTCCCTGGCGATATCATGGTATGTTATCTTTAAAATCCTCTTGTTGGCATATAACTAACAATTGGTTTTGTGCGACACAGGGCCGCGTTGATGGCAGTGCTCCATTCAAGCGTCCGATCTTTGCCGAGATCATTAAAGAGACTTTATTCTCACCCTGCCGTGGCAAGCCTTCACTTGCAGTTGCTCACTCCGTCCGGTTTGTGTCATCCAGCACTGAGAAGCCACTCGAGAAGGAAATTCCCGTACCAATGCTTGCTCTCGCGAGTGCTGCGGTACGTCTTGCCTTCGAGTTTCTGAACTTAACTGTACTCCAAGTCATCAACCTAACTAATACTTTGGTAGATCCGGCTGACTTTAGATGACTGGGCAGGTGGTATCGAGCCAGCGGAGGCCTCGAAATACACCGCTGCCAAGGCCGAGGAAGAATACAACAACGTCATCGAGTTCTTCGACGACCTTCGCAAGAACCGTCCAAGATTCTACCACCGCATCCTTCATCAAGTTTATGTTGACGTCTGGTAAGCTACTCGCTTGCTATTGTCTGCAGTAACTAACACCCACTGTGCGACAGCTCCAGTGGTCTCGCTGCTACTCCGGCATCCCAAAGATCAAAGCAGGCCGTGCGTGGGGCGCTTGCGCGTCTCGTCTTTGATGACTAGCCCTGTTCGCCGCTGTTGGTGTTGCGGTCATCGTCACACTCCGGATGTTCATAATACAGTATGTATGCATGCTCGCATTGTATTCAGTGTATTGTATCTACGAACTAGTGCTTCTAATGGTAGTGTAATGACCACCTAAGCATGCTCTAAGTGTTATTAAAGTACGATAAGTTGACTAGGTAACTGGGGGACTGATCTAGTAACCTAAGTGTCCCAATCAACTAA